ACGATGCACCCAAGAAGTGGTATTTCGCTAGCCGCGAATATACACTTCTTGAGGTTGGCGTACAATTTATGCTTGCGCATAAGTTTAAGGAATTGACGAACGTGAGTTCTGTGAACTTCAACGTCCGTCTCTCCGTCCATAGCCCGGCTATGGACGAACACATCGTCGAAGTAACTCGGTGCGAAGTCTCGCACCGGTCTCAACAGATTTGTTACACATCTGTTGAATGTTGCAGGGGCATTACTCAGCCCCTGTGGCATCACTAGCGACTCCCACAGCATCCCGCTGGGGGTACTCACTGCCGTGAACGGGACGTCCCGTTCACGCATCAGGATCTGATAGAATCTATCCATCAGATCCATGGACGAAAAGATGGTACTCTTTGACATACCATCTATGATTACGTCCTTCCTCGGTATCGGCGTCTGAGCCGGTACCGTTGCAGCATTCAACTTGTTGAATGCGTGCACTATCCGCCACCCTCCTGTGGCCTTTCGCACACAGAATGTCGGAGAGCTGTGAGGGGATGTTGATTCCCTCATATGGCCCGCTGCTAAGCGATCGGCAAAGAACTTGTCGATCGCTATCACTTGTTCACGAGGAAGTGGCCACTGCTTCATGACACAGTATTTCGAGCCCGGTTTGAGCTCGATCTCGTGTCGAGTGCCTTTGTCCTTAGGCAACTCGCAAGGTACGGATTCAGGGAACACATCCCTGAATTCGATCAAATCCTTATACAAAGGATTTGCCTGAAGTGACTCCCAGGATTGGGACGCGTATCACTCAATCCGAGTCTTCTCATCGAGGACACTTTCGTCCATCGATGAGCTGCTGAGAACCCGTTCGTTCTCAGCAAATACTGTTGCCGACCGAATGTCGGTCACATACTCGTCCTCTGTGACGAGTATGCAGATCTGCTTGACTTTGCCACTACGCAGATCACGCAAGAACCGTTTCGGTTCTAGCGTTGGCAACTGAGTTATCTCCGAAGTCAACTTCGGAGGCACAATCAGATCAAGCGTATAAGCGCCTACGATTGATCCGTCGTTGACCAAGACGTTAAATGTCTCCGTTTCTCTCTGGGAACTTCGTTCCACAGGTTGCTGAGGTCCTGTTCCCTCAGCAAGCGACTCTTGAGGAATTCCTTCCTCAAGTACGTGGGGACTTGTTCCCTCGACGTCTTCTGACTGTGGCTGTGCAACCACAGTCAGGGACCGATCCTCTACGGTCGACTCTCCAGTCGACCTAGGATTTTCATGTTGCCCTTTGGAGGCAACAGGTTTCTTCTGTCTAAGATGCTGCCCGCTAGGCATGCATACATGTCCCGGTCCACTCGACTTATTCGAGTGGTGGACCGTCGGCGCAGCCTGTACTTCTGTACAGCCGCCGGGAGCTTGCTCCACAGTGTAGTGATCAACTACACTGTGATCTTGTGCAGTCGTGCTAACGACCGTACCGCAAGTGAGGCCATCGCACTCACTCGCAGAACATCCACACGCTTGTGGACGCTCCAAGATGTTCATCAGATGGCTATCTGATGAACAAGCAGTAGGCATCTTCACGGATCGATGCTGCCAGCTCACTCTTGGCTCGTACTTTCTGAGTCAAGGTAATCCCAGGATGACATCAAATTTGTCATCCAGATCTAGTACGATGAAGTCATCATCGTACTGTTCGCCCTCTAACGTGTAGTGGATTCCTACTACACGTTTCTCAACGGTTATCGATGCGCCTGTTGCAAGGCGCACCGTCATCCTTGTGAGGGGAATGTCGCGCTCAACGAACTTGAGCCTACGACCCTCTAGTGACTGGCGACGAACAAAGTTGTTCGACGCCCCACAGTCTACTAGGGCACGAAGCGACAAATCATTTGTCGCTTCCAACTTCAAGGTGATGAGCGAAACGTCATCACCAGGTGCAGAGACACACAATGATTGTGTATCTGGAGCAACTTTCGTCAAGAGATTTGCAAATTCTCTTGAGGTTGCTGGATCAGTTGGGCGCTCCGCCCCTACTGACCCCGACCATTTTTTGATGGTCCGTCTCACTGTTGCGGCTTCGCAACAGCGCTGGACCCACGCCCATTGCCCTTTCTGGCAAAAGGTCGTCCATTTCGCTCAGTACTGTTTGGTACTGGGCGTGGAGCACTACACTCTTATGCGTAGTGCCCTAACTTCTGACAGCGATTGCACCTCTGCAATCGCTTGTTGTTTGTAGAGCGAGGTCTCTCGCTCTCAACATAGCAGAGGTCCATTGGTTATGGACCTCCGATCTCTTGTCGTCTCGGTGGACGGTAAGAGTTTGAGCTAGCATGAGCCTGTCTCATGCTAAAGTCTTCCTGTTCCGCGGCTGATATCGCTTCTTCAAGCGTATTCAGCTCAAGGCGGAACAGGTGGCTCCTGACGGGCCCTTCTGCGAGCCCTTGCATGAACACCGTAATCAACGTGTGTTCATGGACTGGGTTGGCAGTTATACTACTCGCGAGGAGTCGTATATGTTGAGCGTAAGCGTGCACATCACGCTTACCCTGCTTGATTTTTAATAGCTCTGAGCGAGCCCTGAACTCAGCCCGTGGCGGCATAAACGTTTGTCTGAGCCGGGACTTGAAGTCATCTAGCGACCTAAACACATTTGGGTCGCTACTCTCGAGTCCCCAGGGACCAAGTTTTGGCACGTCCTGCCAAGTGGGTCTGAGCAAATGTGAGTTTCATTTGCTCATCTTCGACGCGACGAGCCCTTAGGGCTCTGTCGAGTTCGACAAACCATAGTAACAGGGAGTCCTCCGGGACTCCACTGTACTTGGAAATGTCGACTTTCATGACTTCGGGACGACGCGCATGCGCCGTACCGCCCACAGCAGCATGGAATTGCTGCTGTCTCAACAGCTCCGTCTGTTGAGCACCGAGTTCTCTCAACTGCTCGGCCTGTTGAGAGCCTTGCTGGTGAAGCAAGGCTACTTTCTCCCTCTCGAGAGCAAGTTCATTCTGAATGAACTTGGCGATAGCGGCATGTTGTTGGTCTCTGTCTAGAGACTCCAACATGGTGCTGACGACGAGTTCGCCTACGGTAGAACTCATTCGTTCTACCGCACCCCATTCGATGTCACTCAAATGGGTAAACCCTTCACGCGTGGCGTGAAAGGTCTCTTCATCATCCAAAATGTTCATGTTGGATGATGTGGTCCTTGGAAGGACTACAAAGTGCTACCAGGTGTAACGGGGCACACCCTTGCGTAACTTAACGCAAGGGATTTGGGTGCCCCGACGGACGTACACGTGGCAAGCGAGGAAGCGTAGGTAGGGTAAAAGTAGAACTGTTATATTAATAAATTAAGTCTTTAAACTACTGTCTCTTCGTTTGACTTGATTCAATTATACTAATATAACTGCATGTATGGTGACGTCTCGTCACCACTCATTGCGCGCGTCTTGCGGCGATTGGTGGGTTGATATCATCACGATATCAACCAATGAACAGACCCTTTGGTCGACCCTTCAATATCACCAAAAATATCACCAAAGTGGTGATATAGTTTTAAAGAATATCCATCTTTATATTCTTTATTGTCACTTTCCTTAAAGTGACAATTTCATGTAACGGGCTGCCCCGTTACACATGAGACCACTTGACGCGCTATGCTTACGAGTCCCAAAGTCGTCGTGCTCAGCTTCTTCGCGTTGGATTCCGAATCCTTCTAACGTCAGCAACGCTCGCTCCTTGAGCTGCTAAACTCCTGACCGTCCATCAAGTTCAACGACGATTGTGGTCAGACGGGTTCACCTGCGGAGATGCTCCCGATGCGGGATTTGTTTCCTCGCACAATCTCCGGCGAACCTCAGGATTACGGCAATGAAGACGACGGGCGCCCGTTCCCGTACGTTACTTGTCCGACTTGCACCGTCGGGCGATCGAAGTTCGGAGCGACGTCTCGGCAGTCTACTTGGAGACAGAGCTGCTACGAACTACGACTTGGGCAGCCTACGTGGGGAAAGAGCTGGTCGAACGCGAAGAGCAAAAGGCACATCGGTGAACTCAATCGATCGCTTCCTCGCAGTAGCAGCTGAGACAAAAGTCAAAAAGAAGTAGCACAGCGACGGTGCGTGTTGTCCTCGTTGTCGATCCATTGGACCACAGAACTTACGACGACGACGATGTGGCTTCTTGACATTCGTTCGACGCTAGCGACTTGGCAGTCGGCTGTGCGCTATTGCTGGTCCGCAAAGAGCTCGTGGGCGGTCAAGAAGCAGTAGCAGCTCAGACACGAACAGCAGCGTAGAAGTTGCACGACCCCTTCACGAAATGAGGCGACAGCGGGGACTCGTCTCGGCACGAGCCACGCGTCTGGCCCGCTGACAAACAATCCCAACTTTGCGTGACGACCAGCAGTTGCTCCTGCCGTGTCTTTGCTCCATCTCTTTCCAGCATCTCCACTTGTTGTCTCAGGGACGTAAACACGTGCCCGTCAGCGCTCCAACAACATAAACGTCATCGGTGGCAAGATCTGACTCGACTCCAAGTCGTCCGGAGGCCATCAGTATCGCAAGTGACGAAAGAAACGAGTCGTGCTCAGGCCTCGCGAGCGATGGGTTCCGCGCCGTCCGTGTTCCTTGTTGACGGCAGTTCAATCTCATCGCTCTTGCGCGATGTGCGTGTCCGCGTGATTTGTTTACTTCGACGCGCGTTTGTATGTTGTGTGGTCAAGAAGAGCTCGCGCGGGAGCGCAGAAGAAGGCAACAGCAGATGCACGCGCGACGGCGGCTGCAAACCACCTTCTAGATCCATCCATCCATCCACGCACGCACACACCCACTCACTCTCATAGACCGACACACAGATCGACAGGATCAGACCCGCGTCCGTCGCCTGCCATCGTCACTTTTGCATTGCTCTCTTCTTCCACTGGAGCAAACCACCGCCGACCGCTTCGTCCGCAAGTGCAAAGACTCCCTCCCTCCCTCAATCCCTCACTCGGTCACTCGTCTCGACCGCTGCTCCACGTCATGGCTTCCACCACGCGCGTCTTGGGCGTGATCGGCGGCTCCAGTCTCTTCCACGCCAAGAGCTTCTCGTCCGGACTGGTCGAGCAGGTCGTCAACACGCCATTCGGCGGCGTCGCGTGCCACGTCGGAACGTGGTCCGCTCCGAGCACCGCCGACGATGTCCCTTCGAAGCTGCAGCTCGTCTTCGTGCAGCGTCATCACGCCGATCCAGACGGCGAGTACCGCCAGCCGCGGCAGATCAACTTCCGCGCCATTGCATCGGCGCTGCAGCTGCTGCACTGCGCGGCCGTCATCGGTATCTACTCGGTCGGGTCCATGACCCCCACGATCGACGTGGGACGCTTCGTCGTGCCCAACGACTTCTTCAGTCCGTTCGACATCCTGCACCTGTCCAATGGCTACGACGCCCACGTCGTGCCGGGCCTCGACACTAAGCTCCAGGGCGCGATCCTGCAGGCGCTGCAAGGCGGAGGCTTCGAGCCGCACGACGGCGGCGTCTACGTGCAAACGGCCGGTCCGCGCTTCGAGACCAAGTCGGAAGTGCGGTTCTTCGCCCAGTTCGGTCAGCTCGTCGGTATGACTGGCGCCAATGAGGCCGAGCTCCTGAACGAGCTGCACGTGCCGTTCGCCATGTTCTCCATCGTGGACAACATGGCCAACGGCCTGGGCGACCGGCTCACGCTCGAGGCGTTCAAAGCCACGCAAGAGGCCAATGCTGGCAAAATGGAGCGCGCGGTGGTCCACGTGCTGAACGAAGTGACGAGTCGCGACACGTTGGCTGCGCTCGCCACGACGTCATGAGCGACAGACCGCTCAGTGAAGAAGTGGGTAGGCAGGTAGCAGACGTGCAGGTAGATCGTCGGCAGGTAGTCGGTAGGCAGGCAGATAGTCGGTAGGCAGGCAGATAGTCGGTAGGCAGGCAGATGGTCGGTAGATAGATAGACATATCACTGGGTACTGTAGGAGCTCTGATAACCGCCAGCAGCTCCACTGCTTTCAGCTGTGATAGCTGTTTTGAACATCGTCCCCCCTCACTTTACTTATCTCTCCCCTGCTCAGCACCATCCGAAACCCTTTGACGCTGAGCCACTGCATCGCCCGTGACATGGCGACCTCCGACACGGCGTTCATGCGCATGGCCATTGCCGAAGCGCACCGCTCGCAGCCGTCTGAAAACGCGTATTGCGTCGGCTGCGTCGTCGTGCGCGACGGTCGCGTCCTGAGCTCGGGATTCTCGCGCGAACTCCCGGGCAACACGCACGCAGAGCAAGTGGCGCTGCAGAAGCTCAGCTTTGACGCACAGGGGGCGACCGTGTACACGACCATGGAGCCGTGCAGCACCCGCGTGTCGGGCAACGTCCCGTGCGTCCAGACCTGTCTTCGCGCAGGCGTCGCGCGCGTCGTCATTGGCGTGATGGAGCCAAAGACGTTCGTGGTGTGCGAAGGCGTGCGACTGCTCCAGGACGCGGGAGTGGATGTGCGGCTGCTGGAGGGACTCGAGCGTGACTGTCTCGCTCCGAACGCGCACCTCGCGCTCGTCAACTAGTCGGATAATCCGTGGCAACCAAATGGTCGCTCAAGTCATTGCCAATGCATCGCTCGCTTCACTTTCCCGTTCTCCATCTCCTGTAGCGCCTTTTCCTCACACATCAAAGCTATCGCTCTTCATTGTCACTTCACGCTTCTTTGTTACCGCTTCGAGTCCAATGTCTTGACAAGCGATGCCAGCGGACGATTGTACAACAAACGATGCGTTGCACCACGTAAGTTCGCCACTTCGCTAGCAGCAAGTTGTCTGCCCATCTTCCGCTACTCACAACTCGCGCTACAACGATTCTTAGCCACTGCATTGACGCGAACACACGCACGCAGCGTTCAAGAAACGCCAACAAAAAGGGGTAAGGTCGCCGTCGACACCACGTTAAACGAACCAACAACAGATAGAACGACGCCATTCCGTGCCTAAAAAAGTGCTTCAGTTGCTTCCGCTTCTTCGATGTGGACGAATTAGTGTCTCGTTCTCGGTGATGGCTACCTCCGACACCGGTGCTGCTACGGTCGACTGCTTCATCAGCGTCGACGCATTACGTGCGGCTCCTGGCGCCATTGGGCCAAAGGGTCTGAGAACTGCCACAACGCCGAGACCTGATGCTGCCACGCTACCACGAACGACTACAATGGATGCTTAGCAAAAAGTGCTGCGGCGACGGTGATCATCTACTGACGACGGCGGCGCTCCTAACGCACAAGAACGACATTGTGCAAACACACTTTCGATCGGTAAACTTCACGTCATTGAGCGTGCATTTGTTTATTGGACTTCCTTCGAACTAAATGACATCACATAGCAACGACAAGCTTCAATGTTCTGTCCTTCACCTTCTCCATGATGTTGTACGATGCAACATCCGCTGAATGTATCCCTTTCGCCTTGTGTAGAGATCTACAGCGTGGTGAAACATATATTAACGAGCCCACGAGAGCCTGTGCGCAACAATTCTATCGCTTCAAACATCAAGTCTCGGCTGGTACGAGACTCAGCCTCAAACAGCAAACAGATCATCGCAAGGTGCGGTGCGTCACATCGTGTCGCCGTTTGCGCTTCCGACTTGCAGATGCGGTCTCAAGTTGCAGAGACATACTATCTCTCAAGACTGGTTTCACCGGGTCGCTGCAATACTCGAGGGATAGTGCCGGCATTACGTATCGGAACCGGTTGCCAGCTGCCGCACCTTTCATGTCCTTCTGCTGTGGCACGATCGACCGTTTGCCATATGCACTTTTGACGGGGCAACTCCAATCGTCATCCAAAGAGTCTAATGGTGAGTTGCAGCGACGTCTGTGAACGACCTCTTGCATTGCCAATTTCTTTTGCCTTCGCTTCTTCGATGGCGCTACTGTGACGGCACAGTTCGACGAAAGGAGATGAAAGACTTTGGCTGCACCGCCGTCCGACTCGGACTCGGTCGTCATGTCACTGATGCCACCCAAATCTTCAGTATCAATTGTCCTTTTGCCGACTTGGTCTCCCCTTTTCGTTCTTTGCCTGGTTTTCGCCGAGTATTTCGTCGTCGTCAAGTCTTTTCCGTTCATCTCCTTTCCAAACCCACGGACGGAGTGCATAAATGGCAAGACACTTTCGTCCTTGAACCTGGTGCTGTCCGTCTTCGAGTTCGTTGTCGTAGTGCACGTGGCGGCATCCAAATCCAAGAAGTTATAAGCATTCCGCTTCATAGTAGGCTGTGTCGGGTGCTTGTGCACCACATCTCGACAGTGAGAGCAGAACCAGTCCCCCTCCGGAATGTCCAAGAGGGCTGGCCGCACACAATTCAGATGACAGGCTCGCTCACAGCCGTCGCAGCACAGCAACTTGCCGCCTTTCAAGCAGACTTCGCAATACTCTCGGTGCTCGTCCGTCGCCAAATGAACTTGTTCGAGTCGCTTGGCTTCCCTCTTTCTCTTCTTCTCTCGCTGCCCATCGTGCCACTTTTCGTACCCGGGGGTGGCTTTCCATAAGTAAAACTTACTCACCAACTCGCACGTTGTGACGCTCCTCCCAAATCGCCGCTGTCAATGGAAGCAGAAGAATAGAAAAAGAGAACAACAACGAATCAGTCATGCAACTTGCAACCAGGTCGTCGCTATACACGACATGTACCTTGACGAGATGAAACTTTTTGCCATGTCTGTTCATTGCTCTCTCAAAAGTGGTCTTGTCGATCCGGTCCGTCTCTTCCTGTTTCAGTCGCAGCGTCTGCCGACGAGCGTCGTGGATCAACCCGACGGCGCGACGCACATCGTAGTTGCCTTTGAAAAGACACTGGAGCGCCTGCACGATAGAAAGCACCAAAACATAACATGTACATGTGTTCCAATACTATGAGTTCTCAGCATTGCGGCACGCGAGTAGTTAATCATATATATGTAAGCGCACCAGCTCTGTCTCTTTGGGCCACGCATACGTGCGAATAAAGTCGCTTTCCTCACTGGGAGAGAGTTTCGGCCGGTGGCCGTCACGCCAGCCCCAGCGCTGCTGGTACTGAGGTCTATGGAGCTGTTTCTGTTGTTGCTGTTGCTCTATCGACAACAACGTCGGGATCTTCGCCGCCATTTCCGATTAGTTTGACACTGATTTGTGTCTGCTCGTGTCGTGTTGTGTGCCCTGTCGCGAGATTGGGAAAGTGAGAAAATACTGTCGCACCCGTTTCTAGCCCCACAAAAAAGGAGGGACAGCTATCCTTCGAATTGCTTCGACAGAAGGTTTTGTCAGCAGATGAAATCCAGCGACTTGCTGCTTCTCTTGCGTCAAAGCTTCGGCAAAGCCCTCGAGACTCCTGTTCATAGAGCGCGCGAGTAACATTCGTAGCACAATCAAGTGACAACAACCCCCTCCCCCCGCTTCAATTGTCGAGTCGAGACGGTGGGATACGACGTGGCGCTAAGGTCTTTCGATGGCGCTTTCGCCCTGGGACCGGCTTTTCGGCCTGCGCACGAGCCCCCTCTGCCGGCACTTCAACGAAAAGCCCTACTACCTTGATCGGTGCATCCCGCGGCAAAGCATCTCGCAGCTGGCCAGCTGGTGCCCTCGGCTGTTCAGGCCCACGTGTTTCCTCGGCTGACGTCGGCATATGTCCCAAGTCGCTGCTCTTGATTGCGTCCGCTCCATGCAATGATGATGGTAAATTTTCGGCGCTCGCGTTCGACTTGGTGGTTGTGGCACTTCGAGGATCAGCGCTCTCCGCAGTCAGCTCTTCTGTTCTGAGAAGATTTGACGTTCTGGCGCTTAAGTCGCTCGTTTCCTCGTTGTTCGATCTCGAACTGGCGTCCGCGTCGCTGCTGTGACCCGAATGCCCTTCTGCCTCATCGACTTCTTGTTCATCACTACTGCCGTCCGTCGACACGTCAACTAACGTATGCGGTACATGGGGGAATGGAAGACACACTAGGCAGTACTCATTCTCGTCGCTCGGCACCATCTTGGGCTTCGTACCGCCAAACACCGCCTGGCAGTATGGACAAAACCACTCATCGTCGTCTCGAGGCATTGTAAGGATTGGAGGTTCGATGCAGCTGAAGTGATAGGCTCGTGTGCAGCCATCGCAACAAAGCAGTTTACCCCCAGTAGTGCAACGTCCGCACTTTTTGTCGTGATAGTCTCGAAGAGTCTCTGCTTCCAGGTCTTCATCCGACTCACCGTTCAAGCGCAGACGCTTGGTCTCCTTCTTGTTCTGTCTGCATTTCCTCATCGGTCTCTGACGTCGCCGCCATTTTCGGAACTCGGGCGTTCGTTTCCACGAGTAGTAATTGCTCACAATGTCCCGGGTGTGCACTCGGTCATCATCGAGCGCTTGCTACAGCCGTCACAAACACAATTGATGGAAGTCAGCGCTGCACTATCACACTCAGTCACTAAAGCCCCGGAATCGATGTACCTGAACAAGGTGAAACTTCTTGCCATGCATCTTGATGGCAGCTCTGAACGTTTCAGCATCAATTTTCTCGTCCCGATCACGTCGTGCCAACTGTCGCTGGCGACGAGCAGCATGCAGCAGTTGCACGGCCTTGGACTGGTCAAAGTTACTCTCGAAAAGACATTGCAGTGCCTGCACGCAAAAATTGGTGCGGACGAAACGAGACGTCAGCGGCTTTTCGGTTTCTGTATTGTCATTTTCTTATAAAAGCCAAATACAGATACAAACAAATGGACGGACCGCTTCTGTCTCGTGGAGCGATGCAAATTCCTCAAGAAATTGGTCGACAACTTCTGTCTTTATTCGGTCCTCGATCTGCCGCCCGCCCCATCGCTGGTGGCACTGCGGCGTGTACACTAGCGCATCTCGTTGCTCTTGCGGTAGTATTGGCGGTATCACAGCTCGACGCGCAGCATGGTCGTCCGCCATGGAGGACATGATGCATTATTTGTCGTGGCAGACTCTTTTTTGGTCCGAGCTGCACAAAACTAAGTCCAGCAGGACTAGAAAGTACTGGCTTGAAAAGCGATGGTTGTTGGGGTGTCAAATGCACTCTGGGAAGGTGATAAACGACGTGTCGGTGACATCTCACGTTCTCCATCCCGATGAAATAATAGGTCGCCGTCCACCGGGGTGCGACATTGTCGCGACGCTTCTGTCGAATGGTGCGATGAGCTTCGCACCGTTTGCGACACACTTCAACCCGTAGAGAAGAGAGGAGGTCAGATTGGTATTCTACACGTTGTCAACGGTGTGCAAGATCTCTGAAAGATCCTCCCTCAGTCAGGATGGAAGTGCCACGTGACCAAGGAGAATTCCGCGGCTGGTCTCAGTGAAAACCGTTGGCCGCACGATTTGCGCTCCAGCAACGCGATGCACGCATTCGGCATGGCACCCGTGACCACGACGCTACTTTCCGATGCTCTCTCTTCGCGACCGGTCCGGTTGGCACATGCAAGAACCCAAATATGTTTTTGTGTCGTCGCGAGTATCGATCGTAGCTGCTTGGTGGACAGCTGCATCCGTTTCGGCCAGAAACCTTCGTTTCACACACCGATGCGAGGATCAGCCCATACGCGGTCGGCCATGCTCTCGTCATCGTGAACACTGTCAGTTCGAGGCTTCTTCCGCTACGAAGATAGATCGTCGACTAGTCTGCCGCAGCACGCATTAAGAACTCTTTGTGAACGCTGGCGGGACGCTCGTTCCTCCCGCGCAAGTGAGAAGGTGAGGCATACTTGGGTACGCGTACGACCCACTATATCCTGTCGCTGGGCAACTAAGTTACCGCGGCGGCGACTACTTTATTTACTCGGTAGTACCAGTCTTCGGAGATCAGAGCGCCGTCGCACCGAGTCTTGTCTCGTGATGATCAGGTTCCTCGGTGTCAGCGCGGGGCCCTGTAGTACGTGGTGTTCGGTATGAGAGGTCTCCAGCCGGTGATTGACATCATTGTCGAGACAAGCAACAGCCTCCTTGACAAGACCTTGGTCTGACGAAGCGTGCCCTTGCAAAGAAACTACTTGTGTCCATAGCGATATTCGCCAGTCGATCCGCCATTTTGTTGTAGGTGCGGTAACGATCTCCCCAACTGGAGACATCGATGTCGGTAGCTATGGCTCGTGCCTCTCGAAAGAGCCGCACCAGGTGTGCCTTGCGTGGAAGGTGTCGCGTTCGAAAGCGCTAGAGCGCTGTCGTAATGACATGCATGGATGACTAGCCGCTTGCCTTTGCTTGAAGAAGACCGTGCAAGCGCCCCCAATATTCCGAAACATTCTTGGTGGTACGCTCGCTCTTCCCGAACGCACTGCTCGACCAGCTTGGTGTAACGGGGCAGCCCGTTACATAATATTGTCACTTAAGGAAAGTGCAACGGATCACGACGGACGATATCTGTTTACGTAAACGATGTCATCATCATAAAAATCAGGCAAAGAAATCAGTCAGAAATCAGCAGGCTTAGAGTAGCACATAGTGGTGAACTAAGGACCTAATGAACTTACTTTTTGATTTACTAACTTGGACACTACATCTGGTAGCACTTGTTGGTCCAGCGAACTATCCTCTGACCCCGACCTGAACTCCCCTGATTTTACTCCGACCTCGCCTGACTAAATCTTAACCTCGCGACCCGACTCCGAACAACGAACTCCGTGCCTGAACTTGCTCCTGACACAGACTGATTAAGTGACCCAAGTGCACCGAGCGCAAAGCCATGGGCGAGCCTTCAAACGCGGAGCTCATGCAAAGCATGCTTGCCATGATAGCGCAGCAGCAAGATATGATGCGTAAAATGGCCGAAGCGACGACGCTCAAGGATCTTCGACTTGACGCAGTGAAGGCGCCTCGCTACAGTGGCCAAATGCAAGAGTCCTTTGCATTATTCAAAGAACAGGTTCAACAGTATTTTGAAGTGAGACGAGTGGAGTGGAAGAGTGCGACAATGGCCGCCACGATTATACCGACTATCGGGAGCATGCTTACAGGCACAGCTGCCGATTGGTATGTCTGGTCACGCAGCAGAATAAACACTGTCGATGAATTATTTTTCCACATTGAGCAAGAATTTGTACCCGCAGACTTGCAGATCCGGCTTCGGGACCAACTGCGGAATCTCAATCAAGCGCAGTGTCGAGATCTTGGCGACTTTGTAAATCGCTTTCGACAACTGATGATTCAAGTGCGTAACATGAGTGATGTCGACTCCGTCTTTTACTTCACGCAAGGCCTGAAGCATCAGACCCGTGCTGAAGTGGAATATCGCCGTTGTTCGTCTCTAAGTCAGGCAATTAACGTTGCTTACGACTTTGAGCGTTCACATTTTGGCGTGGGGAGTTCAAGGCGTACTCAACAATTTCGTCGACCAGAAAGCCCTACTCATCAGCGCTTTGACGATCCTCAACCGGAGCCGATGGAGATTGACAACGTGCAAGTAGTGTCACGAGAAGAGTGTTTCCAACGCAATCTGTGCTTCTATTGTAAGAAGCCAGGGCATCGACTCGCGGAGTGCCCGACAAGACCACGAACCCGATCAGTTTCGAGACCGCGCGCGCGCGTGAGTATGATCGAAGATGTTCAAGATACAGCGGAATCTTCTGACGAAGCCATTGTTTTTGATCAATTTACGGTCAACACCTTACAAAATAATGGGGTCAATTATCGGCCTCATTTGTTGCGAAAGACTGGATCCATTGATGGTGTACCAGTACTGATCTTGCTGGACTGTGGAGCATCAACAAATGTAATTCGACCCGGTCTGGCTACTAAGGTTCTCCGCTCGCAGCGCGGCCAATTAAAGCGGTTTGATGGATCGCTTACACCACCGGCTGATCTAGCGACGGTGGAAGCGACAGTACGCACTAATGAAGGCGAGTTTTCAAACATGATCTTCACGGAAACCCATCTGGATGCCGAGCAGGATGTGATTTTTGGTCTTCCGTGGTTTCAAGAATATGCACCGCAAATTAATTGGACATCGGGTCAACTGCTTCTTCCAAATCAGCCTCACATCAGTGATATGGATAGCACAGAGCGGACCGAGCTGACCCCAGACAGCACGATTTCCAGATCAGGTGGTCAACTGCACAGATCATACGTGCGCAGGTCCGACTACGCAGAGCTATTTGTCGTCAAGATCGCTTCTAATTTGGTGGACGACAATGTTCCGGATTGGCTTTGTGACCTTATACAGGAATATACCGACATATTCCCAGCGAAGCTACCCGACGGACTACCACCGCCACGTGCGGTGCAGTTTGACGTAGAAATGAAACCAGATGCGATTCCAAGTTCCAGAGCGCCGTTTCGTCTATCAAAGACCGAGCAAGAAGCACTGAATTCCTTCGTTGCCGACAACCTAAAGAAAGGCTGGGTCGAAGTGTCAAATTCTCCATGGGTTTCCAACATATTCGGTATTCCTAAAAAAGACCATGTTACGGGCCAAGCTCCAACACGCGGTGAGTGGCTGCGATCGGGAAACAGCTTACAGCCGATTCGCTGGGTCATTGATTATCGTTACGTGAATAGCCAGACCAAAATCCCTAAAATACCTCTCCCTCACATCGAGGAACTATTTGACAGGATGGCAGGGTGCGCCGTGTTCACGGTTATTGACTTAGCACAAGGCTACCACCAGATGCTGGTTAACACTTCCAGTCGCCAGTACACAGCATTTCGGACGCACAAGGAGACATACCAGTGGTGTGTCGCGCCGATGGGATTGGCAGGGATGCCCGGTGTATGGTCACGCCTTATGCGCGAATTGTTTGATAAGTTTGACTTCGCTGTGGTCTATCTGGATGACATATGCATCTTCTCCAAGACAAATGCCGATCACAAAATTCATCTACGCCAGGTATTTCAAGTGCTGCGACGTGAACAACTGTATGCTCACCGCGGCAAGTGCTCTTTTGGAAGGGACAGTGTGCAGTTCTTAGGTCACACGGTTTCACGAGATGGGTTGAGTGTGGATCAGCGTAAGACATCTGCAATCGCCACCATGGCCCATCCAACCTCGCGAAAGGAGCTGCTAAGCTTTTTAGGTCTCGCTGGTTATTATCGGCGTTTTATTTGTGACTTTGCCAAGATGGCACTTCCATTGAGCAAGCTGGTCAAGAAGGACGTACCTTGGGCGTGGTCAGAAGATCAAGATGAAGCTTTTCAATCATTAAAAGTCGCGCTACAACAAGCTCCCGTGCTTCAGCTACCGGACTTTTCTATTCCTTTCATCGTTACTACGGATGCATCAGGATTATGCATGGGTGGCGTTTTGTCACAGCTTACTGGTGGCGAGGACCATCCTATCGCGTTTTTTTCGAAAAAGTTTGGTATTCACGAACAAGGGTGGCCGGCACACGAACAGGAATTACTCGCGATCAAGACAGCACTCGCGAAATGGCGCCATTATTTACACGGTCGGTCATTTGATGTCTATACGGACAACAATGCGTGCCGTTGGATGTTACACCACCCAAACGTCACGCCTAAAATGGCGCGTATGCTGACTTTTTTCTCTCAGTTTAATTTCACGCTACATCACGTCAAAGGTACTTCCAATATGGTCGCCGATGCATTGTCGCGTCCGAGCGTCACCCGTCCTGCTTTGACGAGAAGCGAAAGTATCGTCCCTCACGTTCATGACTGTGGTTCATTGTGCGCTCATCGCGACGCCCACCTTCGACGTCATCGTATTCATCTGGCGGTCCTCTGTATGCTGCCGAGCCTGGATAAAGACCTTCTTCTCGATGTGCAGGACTTTGAGGGGGTGGAACGAGTGCACCAGGTTGGTGTGCCTCAGAAACATCAGCGAAAGATTCACGAAGAAGTCCGGCACATCGAGTTCATAATTTCAAGTATACATCTTTCGTCGGCATCGAAGAAGGCATTTATTCAAGGATACAACAAGGACCACGAGTTCACAGAGGCGCTGA